CCAGAGCAGATGGGTGTGCAGCAGACAGGCTTGCAGCAAAGAGTCACACAGCAGGGTGAGGAGGTGCAGCATGAGGGCTGGCAGCTAGACTGCTGGCAGCATGAGGAGGATCCAGAGCAGATGGGTGTGCAGAAGACAGGCTTGCAGCACAGGGTCTCACAGCAGGACTGTTGGCAGGGGGAACAGGTGTAGCAAGCTGGCTGGCAGCTAGACTGCTGGCAGCATGAGGGTGTGCAGCAGGCAGATTGGCAGCAGGGGCTGGACACACAGCTCACTGGGGTGCAGATGAGAGTCAGGCAGGGGGCTGGGCCACAGCAGCTGGGCTGGCAGCAGCTGGGCTGGCAGCAGCTGGGGACACAGCAGCTGGGGACACAGCAGCTGGACTGGCAGCAGCTGGGCTGGCAGCAGCTGGGCTCACAGCAGCTCTCTGGGCAGTCATCCACCTGCCAGGAGGAGTTGGTGCAAGCATCAGAGCAGACAGACATGGTGGAGGCGGCCATGGTGAGGGCTATGCTGGGAGTTGAGCGTGTGGGAGTGTGAATGTGTGCAGTGCTGGGCTGTTGGCCTTTTATCCTCCTGCAGCCTGTTTGCCCAGAGGGAGACGCACTTTTCTTCCTGTTGTGTGCTTTGTGGGAAGTTCCTCTTCTTGACCAACCACAGCTTTGGACCTAGGTGGTCTGAGGAGCAAGGCTTGCTGGCAGCTTCTGTCCTGGTGGAGAGACTGTGGGGACCTGAGGCCTGGTTTCTGGGACAGAGTAAAAAAAGGTAGAAAAGGTGGTAGCTCCAAGATCCACCTCTGCCAGTGTAAGATGTCAGTCAGCCCTTGGTGGAGGCCTGGTGGTCACGCCCTTCAGGGCCAGCTGGAGGCACCATCCTGTACCAATGGCTATTAGGGAGATGGAAAAGGAAGAGCTAGGAACGAATCATTATATGATCTCATCAGAAGTTAGATGGGCTGAGGCAGGCAGGTCTCAAGGTTGAGGCCAGACTGGGCTACCTAGTGAGACCCTGCCTCAAAACCTTAACAAAAAACAAGGCAAAGCAAAACAAAACTCAAAAAAACAACAGAAACAAAACAAAACAAAACAAAATGAAACAAAACAAAACCTGTCACCACCACCACCACCAACAACAAAATCTCATCAGAGACCAGTGTGTCTGAACAGCAGCCTCCTTTGGTGTTTATTTCCTGATGTCAGGTAACCCAGGTCAGAGAGTTCAGTTGTCTGTGTAGATAGAGGACACATCTAAGCTTATTGTCACACGGCCACATCGGCTGACACACTGCCTGCCTCTCTCTGTTGATACTGGACAGTTTTCTATGATGACTGGGTAATCTGCGCCACTGGAGACATGGCCTGGGATATGGCTGTGTGTGGGTGTGTGTGTGTCTGGCAGTGTTCCAGGTGAGGCTCTGTCCGTGGTAGCTTTGCCTGAGACAGTCACCCTGTGTCATGAGGGGTGTCCATGATAAAGACTTGCAGCCTGGATTTGGAGAATCCTGCTGGTTTAAGTAAGGTTGGGGTCAGGAGGATGCCTGCACTTAGTCAAATTCTACTTTTGGATGGGAGGCTCCGGATATACTATGGGGACTTCTTGGGAAGTTGACATGCAGCTCTTTCAGGGAAATCGGCATTTTATGACATTGTAGTCTTCGGGTGATAGGGAGTGCTGAGATCCCTGGAGAGATGGAATCTAAGATCTCAGCTGTTGTAATTTTAAAAAGTGGCACTCAAGAAAGAAAGGTGTCATGTGACAGAGCTTGGGTGGAGGGCTTTTTTTTTTTTTTTTTTTTTTTTTTTTTAAATTAGGGGAATGTGAGTGGGAGAAGGCTAGAGAGGAGATGAGCTTCTGGGGACAGGATGGAGGGCAGAGAAACAGAGAGAGAGAAAGATGGGAGGTGGGCAGGGCCCTTTGAAAAGGGAAAGTGACTATACACAGGTGGTGCTCTTAGTGGCCATAGCGGACGGAGTACCCTGTCGGAACCCCAAGAGCAGGCCAGGACAGATGCCTGAATGCTAACAACGGCAATGAGTTCTAAGTGGTTTCACATGCTAAAATGAGAGTGGGTTGGGCAGATGGGTCACTGCTGGAAGTCTGTGTTGAGGGCATGTCAACTGTGGTAAGCTTTTCTGAGGTGGGTTACCGTGAGAGGGAAGCAGTGTGGGACTATAAAACTTTTTGTGGAGTTTATGAATTCCAACTAAGCTGGGGGTGGGGGTTTCCAAGGACTCATTTATTCCACAGTAATACTTAGGAAAAGTCACCAAACATTTCTCTGGGAAATATCCTAAGAGGTGACATTATCCATGTCTTCACAAATTACAGATGTGTGTGTCCCCAGACAAGACACATAGCTTCACACCCCTGCTACACACCCATTTCAGGAGTGTAGGTGCTTAGCCCTGGGCTCTGTCTATGGGGCACATGCTTCACGGCTCCCATGGGTGGCACAGGTTGTAAGTGTGGATCTCAACCAAGCTGTGTCTTGGTGTTATGTCTCTTATCTCTTTCTGTAGAGTAGATTTCGGGGAGTCACAGGACTGTAGAAAAAAGGGAGTGTGAGGTGACAAAAGGCCTGTGTCCCAAGGCCATGACCCTAGGACTGTGTCATCTAAGTACTCCTGAGGCTGTGCCTACATCCTCATAGTGAGTTCACACTCAAGTGGTTGGCTTTATCAGATATTTCATTCTGGCTCATACAATGGACTTGGCAATTCTGTGCCTTTACTAGCTTGTTCCCAATGTCCCTTGAGTGATGTTTAGGTCCTTTACACATCTTCAGATGCCCATGTGGCCACAGGCAAAGAGCTGCCCAGACCTGTTCTGCCATGTTTAACAGCTTTCCATGTCTCTGGGCTCTCAGCCAAGTCTCTTTCTACCATCTGGTTCAGAGCCCTGCAGTCTTGACAAGCCAGGCTTGCCACCAGCCTTGATGTGCCAATTTTACAAGTTAATGGTGAACAGCAGAGAAAGGGGATTTTTTTTTAAAGTGCAGACACAAAGGGAAGAAGAAGAGAGGTCTAGCAAAAAATGTTACCCCCAAGTCCATCTTCAGTGTTGTCACCAGGGTAAAGTTTAAGTAGAAGGTATGAAGTGTGCACAGCCATCAGTCCTGGTCAAGGTGTGGTCCCACCCATCATCATTGTCTGGGCACTAGTGATTCCTGCAAGGTAGTCTGGGAGACAAACTCCCTCTTTGTCTAGGACCAGGTTCCTCTTTTTTCTTCATCCAGCATGAAACTCCCAGGAAAATTCCAATACCTTGGAGTCCATTGTCTCAAAATTCTGAGGGGCACAGTGTCTCACTTTAGGCTACCTCCACTCCTGCCAAGTGGCTACACACTCTTCTATCATCTCATGAACATCACCTGGTCACTGGCCACATCTCAGTGTTTCTGGGTCACAGCCATGTTGCTGCTCTAAGTTTGTGAGTTCAGTTGAGCATGAACACTGGGATAAGAGCCCACAGCCTTCTCAGGGTCTATCAGATACTGTCTACAGGCAGAGGGCTGAGGCATCCCCATTCCCTACAGCATGGTCCTGACAGGAGGAGCTAAGATGGAGGGGGGGGGTAGCCACTGGGGAAGTGAGTCTGGAGTGTGACTGATAGATGCTTGCATTCCCTGATTCAGGAGGGTCGCCCACACCCCCATCCTGCTCAGAGCTGGGACTTGTCAGCTCTATCCAGCTCTGGTGTCCTAGAGCTGTCCTAGAACTCTGGCTGGCACAGAAGCACAGTGCAGCATCAGGGGAGGCATCCCTGCGCAGAAGAAAGCTGGCAGCCAGGGTGGGCAGCCAGGCTATGCAGGGACATGAAATGGGGCACCAGGACACTCCATTGCACACACATTCAGAGTTGCATCTCACCATTTCCTGGCCACCCCTCAGCACAGTTAAGGTGACAGCCAGGACCAGTTATGACAGGTGTGTAGATCCTGACAGGGTGTCGCCACCCTGATGGAGCTGCTAGGGAAGGTGGCCACACCCCAGGCCTGGGAACGGATGGGAGTCAGGATACCCTCCCCGAGTCTACACATCCTGCTCTATCCTTGCCAGGATGCAGACCTGCTCCATGGACCAGGGAAGCAGGCTTGTCACAGCAGGAGCCTTGGTGACAAGGGTGTTTCGGACAGCCAACTGCAATCAGAGAGGACCTATGGGTGGTGAAGGCTGCAGCAGCCCTGCCCTGTTTCTGGAATCCACAGGAAGCCCAGTGCAGACCAGTTTGCCCAGATAGACACTATAGGATGGTCCCAGACCAGGACACATCTGTAGGTGACCAGTCCTGGGGAGTCCTGGGCACATGGATTTTTGGTTGAATTTGTCTAGAAAGAGGCTCTGAACTTCAGAAGAGAGGCCACAGGCCTTCATGACCACTAGGCAGGGCCACTCAGTTCCAGATATGCCTGTGGTTAAGGGAGACTGTACCCCATGGAGGTCACGTGCCCTCATAGCATGAGGGAAGTGATGGCCATCCCCTGAAGTCTCCCTGACTAGAAGACTGAGGTACCATCTGAATGTGCCCGAGAGAACATTTTGAGAATGTTCCCTGAGGGAAACACCCTGACTGTGGGTAATGCCATCCCATGGGCTGAAGCAGGGGGAACGGAGGGAAAAGAGGGAATAAAACACAACCCCCCCCCTCTCTTCCTGGCCACTGAAGAGAGATGCTTGATCAGCTAAAGCCCTGAATGAGGTCATTCCTTCCTCCTTGTGTTAGATACTTCATCCCAGAAATGAAAATAATGATACAGAAGGGTGTTGGGTGGCTATGGGTTTATTGGTGTTGTGAGCTGCTGCTATCAGGGTAAGTGACCCAAAACAGCATAGAGTGACAGTGACTTAGTGACTCCTGGAAGGTAGGAGTCAAGTCAGCATGGGGGACATGTGCTGTCCCTGTTCTGTGGGGACAATCTATCTCAGGTCAGTAGCAGACTGGAGAGGCCTAGGGGGACCACAGGGAGGGACCTGAGTCAGCTGGCACCAGGAACAGGCGCATCAGCAGCTGGACTTCTGTCCCGAGGAGAGATCACAGCAGGCCTGGCTGGAGCACACAGGGCGGCAGAGCAGGGACATGCTGGAGCAGGGCTTGCAGCAGCTGGGCTGGCAGGAGGAGGCACAGCAGGAGGAGGTGGGCCCACAGCAGGCTGGTCTGCACACAGGGCAGCAGAGCAGGGACATGCTGGAGCAGGGCTTGCAGCACACAGGCTTGCAGCAGACAGGCACACAGCAGGAGGACTGACAGCATGAGGGCTGGCAGCTAGACTGCTGGCAGCATGATGAGGATCCAGAGCAGATGGGTGTGCAGCAGACAGGCTTGCAGCAGACAGGCACACAGCAGAAGTGTTGGCAGCATGAGGGCTGGCAGCTAGACTGCTGGCAGCATGAGGAGGATCCAGAGCAGATGGGTGTGCAGCAGATAGGCTTGCAGCAAAGAGTCACACAGCAGGGTGAGGAGGTGCAGCATGATGGCTGGCAGCTAGACTGCTGGCAGCATGAGGGTGTGCAGCAGCTGTTGCAGATAGACTGGCAGCAGGGACTGGACCCACAACTCACTGGGGTGCAGAGGAGGCAAGGGGTTGGGGCACAGCATGGGGGCTCACAGTAGCTCTCCTGGCAATTGTCCAGCTGCCAGGAGGCACCAGTACAGGTGCTGGGAGGGCAGATCCGGCTGCCGCAGCTCAGATTGCTAGAACAGACAGATGTGGTGGATGCAGCGATCACACAGGTCCTCGTGCAGCAGGTGTTGGCCATGGTGGGGGTTGGACCAGGAGGAGTGGTATGCCAGTGTGTTTGTGTGAGGTGCCTGGCCCTGCGTTTTTATGTACCTCCCATGTACACTTCCTCGTGAATGTGTCCATTTTTACTTTCCTTGTTAGTCTTGTTTTCAAACAACATAGCCAGTTTTTGGTTGGGAGTGTGGGTCACAGCTGGACCAAGGCACATCCTTATCCTAAGACATGAGACACCACAGCTAGGTAGAGCTGGGTCTGTGATTGCCTGTGCGGTCTCCCACATTGTCTTTGGGAACACAAGCTCCCCATGCTGCAGGCCCCTCTATTCCTGCAGGTGGTGACCACCCTCTCCTCTATCCTGCAGACGCAGAGGTAGGTCCCTCTCCTCCAGCCCACAGACTCAGGGTCCCTGTCCCTCATCCCACAGACTCAGGGTCCCTCTCCTCCAGCCCACAGACTCAGGGTCCCTGTCCCTCATCCCACAGACTCAGGGTCCCTCTCCCACATCCCACAGACTCAGGGTCCCTCCCCTTCATCCCACAGACTCAGGGTCCCTGTCCCTCATCCCACAGACTCAGGGTCCCTGTCCCTCATCCCACAGACTCAGGGTCCCTGTCCCTCATCCCACAGACTCAGGGTCCCTCTCCCTCATCCCACAGACTCAGGGTCCCTCTCCTCCATCCCACAGACTCAGGGTCCCTCTCCCTCATCCCACAGACTCAGGGTCCCTCCCCTTCATCCCACAGACTCAGGGTCCCTCTCCCCCATCCCACAGACTCAGGGTCCCTCTCCCTCATCCCACAGACTCAGGGTCCCTCTCCTCCATCCCACAGACTCAGGGTCCCTCTCCCTCATCCCACAGACTCAGGGTCCCTGTCCTCCATCCCACAGACTCAGGGTCTCTCTCCTCCATCCCACAGACTCAGGGTCCCTGTCCCTCATCCCACAGACTCAGGGTCCCTCTCCCTCATCCCACAGACTCAGGGTCCCTCCCCTTCATCCCACAGACTCAGGGTCCCTGTCCCTCATCCCACAGACTCAGGGTCCCTGTCCCTCATCCCACAGACTCAGGGTCCCTGTCCCTCATCCCACAGACTCAGGGTCCCTGTCCCTCATCCCACAGACTCAGGGTCCCTCTCCTCCATCCCACAGACTCAGGGTCCCTGTCCCTCATCCCACAGACTCAGGGTCCCTCCCCTTCATCCCACAGACTCAGGGTCCCTCTCCTCCATCCCACAGACTCAGGGTCTCTCTCCCTCATCCCACAGACTCAGGGTCCCTCTCCCTCATCCCACAGACTCAGGGTCCCTCTCCCTCATCCCACAGACTCAGGGTCCCTCCCCTTCATCCCACAGACTCAGGGTCCCTCTCCTCCATCTCACACTCTTTGTTATACTATTACTTATGAAAACAACATGCTCATTCTGTTTTTTGTTTGTTTGTTTTTGTCTTTAGATATGACCCAACCTCTTACTGTCCAGGACAGCATTCTCTCTCATCACCACCCCTCCCGTTCTGAAGACAGTGCACTTAAACCAGAGCACCAACCATTCATCTATTAGTGTTCTCCGTTTCACACCTATCTCAGTATCGTCTTCCTTGAGTGTTTCTGTGTGGTGACAGGGTTAATGTCTGTATTCATGTGCATTTCGGTTGTGCTTTTCCCTCTTGGAGCTGGTCACTTCCTCTGTTTTTGTTTTCCTGTGCTTCAGTCCTTACATCTTCCCCGACTGTCCCCTAATTGTCCCCAAGCTCTGAGGACACAAACACTTCCAGTAACTGATTGTGTTATTTCCTGTAAACATCACTTCTAGTACTTGGAACTCACAGATCAGTCTGAGTTGACCAGCCCTCAGACCCAACCCAACACTCAACCTTCCTCATCTCAGCCCTTGCCCCCTCAGCCCTTGCCCCCTCAGCCCTTGCCCCCTCAGCCCTTGCCCCCTCAGCCCTTGCCCCCCTCAGCCCTTGCCCCCTCAGCCCTTGCCCCCTCAGCCCTTGCCCCCTCAGCCCTTGCCCCACCTCAGCCTTGGGTCCCCCAACCCCACCCCCAGCACTGGTGCTCTGCTGGTATCCTGTGTCTTCCTTACTATTTCTTTGTCTTCATTTTTCTTAAGTGATGGCTCCTTGTAATTTCTTTCTGGACTGATGCCTTTATTTTGGTAGAGCAATCATTTGGAGGCTTTCTGGGAATGGACGTGGGGGTTCTATTCTTGTGATCCATGGAGTAAACTATAATCCAGTTTTCCTAGCACCATTTTCTAAAAAAAAAAAAGGCTGTCTTTCCCTAGAGACATTTTAGCATAGGTTTTAGCTAAGGGGAGGGGGTTTAGAGGCCAACACTGGGGGTCTTTCTTTTTGGCTATAGTTGGATCTTCTATTTCACTGGTTTACATGTCTACTTTTGTGCTGACACAATGCTGCTTTTGGGACTTATAACTATTGTGTAATTTGAGATAAGTCAGTGTAACACATCCGAATTGATCTTTGTGTTCAGGTTTGCTTTAAAAATTCAAGGTCTCGAGCTGGGAGGTGATGGCCTTTAATCCTAGCACCTGGAAGGCAGAGGCAGATGAATCTGTGAGTTGGAGGCCAGCCTGGTCTACAGAGCAAGTTTCAGGACAGCCAGGGCTACAGAGAACCCTTACACATACACATACACACACACACACACACACACACACACACACACACACACACACACAGTTCTTCTGTATCCTCATGGATTTTAGGACTTATTTCCGATTTCTCTGGAGAAGGCTGTTGGAATTGTGATGAACAGTATTTTGATGAGCAGTGCATTGACTCTATAGATTGCTTTTGCCATTTTTGTGTTGCTAACTCTCTGCTCTATTATTGTGGGAGTCCTCCCTCCCACTAGGGCTCTTCCTCCTTTCTTCCTTTCAATTCCTTGGTTTATTTACAACTGTTTTGTTTTCTGGGACAACTGTAAATGAGATTCTGAGTCTTACTTGTTTTTTTTTTTTTTTTCTCAGTCTGTTCCATTGGAATCTAGACAAGGCACTGAGTTTTGTGTGGTGACTTTATATTCTGCTTGTAAGCTAGAAGTGTTTATTAGATTAAGCATTTCAGCTGTAGACATTGGGGGCTTTCACATAGGAATACTGTCTGAAAATAAGGACACTTTGATTTTTTTTCTTTCCTATTTGTATCCCATTTATTCCTTTCTGTTGACTTAATGCTGTGGTTACAAAGTCAGGCAATATATATGTACACGAGGGGGCATAGTAAATAAACCCCTCAGAATGGCTGCTCTGTTACTAGTGGGGGTAGTTATTGTGAATATGAGAGAGAGAACATCCAAAGGCATCTGGAAGAGTCCAGAGCAGTCATGTGGAGGTAGCGCTTAACTCACTATCTTACCCTGGAAATTGGTGTATTGTAATGTCATTAAATTATTTACATTAAATATTTTTATTATTAATTTTATCATGATCTTTATCATCATTTTTTCTCTTTTGGATCTTCCAGTCTTTTAATTTGTATTGTCCTTCATAAACAAACTGATCAGTTTTATTTATATCTATAACTCTTTCCTTATTCATCATTTGTGTATATATTTTATGTATGTGTAGAGGCCAGAGATTGACACAGGGTGTTTCCCTTTGTCACTTTCCACATCATCATCATCATCATCATTAGTATTGAAACAGGATCTTTCTCTGAATGCGGAGCTCACTGGTTTAGACATACAACGGGCCAGGGAGCCTAAGGGACACTCTGCCTCTGCCTCCTCAGCCCTAGGATTACAGGGCCTGCATCTGTATCCTGCTGTTTTACAAATGTGGGCTCCAGGGTCCTCATGCCTGTGAAGACAATACTTCGCCAATTTCTGGATCTCCCCAGTTGTCTTGTAAGATTTAAAAATTCATTTTGGAAGCTCTTATGGTTTCATGGGTTGAACTCTTACTTTCAATCCTGTTCATTTGTATTGCCTAAGGATTTGATTTTTTCTGAGTCCTGCCTCTCTCACATTAACTGTGTTCTGAGAAGTGATGCATCCACACTCACTATTTGGTTCATGATGCATGTCCACACTTGCTTCCAGGTCACTATGTGTCTCCATTTCTTACTCCGTGGGACAGAGTACCTTTAGAATTCCCACAGGTGACTTTCTGTGTTTTTTTTGTTTGTTTGTTTTGTTTTGTTTTATTAACTGTGGCTCAGGAAAGAGATCTTTATAACGTTTTTTTCTTAGTATTTTATTACAAATCATTATCAGCAGACAATACAGAATGCAATGTACCAAGCATGCATGAACCCGGCAGCCCGGCTGACGCGTATCAGCACTTGTTGACCTGCTCAATTCCGTGGGAGCCATTTTCCCCTCATTCTGGAAAGAACGTGTGTGGGACATTGTTATTGTTCATTCCTGAGTGTTTTCCTGGTAAACTGTCCTTGGTAAAGATGTTTAGAGCTGTAAGGAACACTTGCCTCCCTCTGTGTTTCAAGTGGAGTCATTCTATTAGTCTGAGTGTTCTGGCCACTAGCCACTGTGGCTGTGATGATAGCTGATTGCTTGCCATTTTGAGGGTGCCAGCTTTTTCTTCTATGATCATCTATGTCTGCTTGTCAAGGGCAGGAATGACCAACTATGTGACTTTTGGTCACAGGGCATTTCCATAAATGCTTACTGCTACCTCTTTTGTTCATTTATTTTTGTTTCATTGTAAATTCAGAAGATAGCTGTCTCAGGGGCTTGAGACTGCTGTGAGGCCCTTTCTGCTTCCAGAATACCTTTCTAGGTCATGTCTTCCACCTCCACACCCATGCCTCCAAGATGCTATAGCAAAGAACAGAAAGTCTTTGAGAACTGTGGCCTGGAAGAGGCAGATTATTGCCAGCAATTTACTTTCCAGATGCCACTGTGTGGCTCTAACTGCAATAGCCTGGACCAGGCTACAGGCCCAGGCCAGAAGTGGTACCCCCAGCCAAGAAAAAGAGCTTGGGGCCAAGTCCTGGGAAGCAGGGAATGATGCTGTTCAGGGGATGTATTCAGTATTCCTAGCAAGGATAGA